TCGGACACCCCAGATATGTCTGATAGTATGTTTATGTTATGATATATATATATGATAGTAGCAGTAGGGGGTGGAATAGTCCTCGAGGGTCGGTTGTTAGGACCGACGGGTAGGTCAGCACCCCAGAATGGCTTGACACGGGTAGGTCGGCACCCCAGAATGGCCGTACCGGGTAGGTCGGCACCCCAGAATGGTCGTATCGGGTAGGTCGGGCACCCCAGAATTGCCCGGCAGTATGTATGCTATGTGATTGTATGGTATGTGGTATGATGGGGGAACTCACTAAGCTTCGTGCTTACGGTTTACAGTTTTGGTTTCAGGTACTCGTGTTCAAAGGAAAGAAGCCGGCTTGATCGCAGCGCATCACACTATGTTTTCCGCACATGAGATCTTTGGGATTACACTCTGATATGGTTTTATGATAATATGTTTTGATTACTGACACTTTGGTTGACACGAGATATTATTATGAATGTTTTTATACTGATGGTTTTATGTAATAACTTATTTAAAAATGAAATTTTTGGCCTTGAATTTTGGGATGTTACACTTAAGTTGGAATTAAAGTATTCATGGGAAAAATTTACAAATTCCAAAACTTGAAGGCAAGTTTTGAAACAATTCAAAAACTATTCAATTCCATAAATTATGAGTTTAAAGTAGTTTTAATTAAAAAACTCTTCAAGTTCCATAACTTGAGGACAAGTTATGGAAGTCTTTAAACCATTAAAAGGAATGTGACTTTTCCTTTATTCATAACTTATGAAATATTTATGAGTTTTATAATTCTTAAATGTGACTTTTCATGTAACTTGAGGACAAGTTACAAAAACACATTTTAGAATCAACTCTTAGATTAAAATGGATTGAAAACAACAATTTCACATAACTTTCCTAATAATCTAAGCAACTCATAAGAACAGGATAATTCAATCAAACTTTTTCATGTAATTAGACTAACCATTAAACTAATACAAAACATGAATCTATTGATAATTATTTGAAATTGGATTAGAATGAACATTACCACATCAAAAATAGGTTTATAGGTTCAAAAACAGCTTAGGGTAATGATTCTAGTCCAATTCCAGCCTTAAAAGTCGAAAATATGCTGTCAGGGGGTCCTACTCGTCGAGTGTATGAACCTACTCGACGAGTAGGATGAGTTTCCTCATGGACTCGGCAAGTTCATCAGTGGACTCGGCGAGTCCAGTGCCCAAACAGCCCGAAAATCGATTTTTTCAGCATTTTTCAGCACTTTGCATCAAGTATAATTGAAAACAAGCCTTGGCTCTGATACCACTGATGGGTTTTGAGCATTCTAACACTCCTATGGTGTACATGTAACCCTAAATACCTTGGATCTATGTTTTCTCTATTATACATGCAAATATGAATAATGCAAGGTATTACCCTATCTAGCATACAATCTATGATACTTGGGTAATAAAACAAGTTTGAAGACATACCTTTTTATGTAGCTTGATTCCATGATGCTTAAGAGCCGAGTGCCCCAAGTGTGACACCTCAAATGGTTCACACAATATCAAATACACTTGGAATAACTTAGAGAGAAATGAACCACTTCATGAAATCGGCTAGCCCTCACCATACACACATAGTTCTCTCATGGTGGCCGATTTTGACAAGAATAAGATGCTTATATAGTTTGTCACAATTAGGGTTACACCATGTAAACCCTAATTGTCATGGCCTTTCATTTCCATGATCCATGGGTACACAAACACCATGGAGCATCCATGGAGCATCCTATGGGTTTTAACCCAACTTGATAATCCATGGAGCATTAGCCCACTATACAAGTATGGATGATTTACACAATCAACCCATATATTTAATTAGTCTCCTTTTGATCACTTAATTAATTCCAAATTAATTCTTGATCAATACTAATTAAATAATCTTATTAATATATTAGAACTTATAATATATTAGTAAACCTTAAGTGTTATTTCTCTCATTTTAGTCTATCCAAATGTGTGATGCCATGCAACCCAAATGGACCATGCCAATCGGGTCAAGTACATACCAAATATAGTTATGGACTTAGACACTAATCCAACACTAACATGCAAGTGTCATGAGCTACCCCCATGGTCTTTCATGCAAATGTCATGGGCTACCCCCATCGTCTTTCATAAAAATGTCATGGGCTACCTCATGGTATTTCATACAAATGACACAGGCTAACCCCACCGTCTTCAATGCAAATATCACAAAGACAACTAGCACCATACATAGTATAGTTTGAAGACTCAGCTGAATTCGATGACAAAATAATCACACACTCTAGCTGTTGCAACAAAGGCTCCTCACACTGAACATATCCAAAACAAACCCTAATTAATAATTTGGGTAATAACCTATAATCAAACGTCTACTTCATATTTTCTCTTTTTAGGGTAAAAGTCCATTCTATCCTTTCCAAGCTAGACCCAACCAAACATGGCCCACGGCCGAAAAATGGCCCACGTACACTTCAAGGAGTACGCGATGCATAATCCTTCCTTACGCCATGTGTACTAAGTTTCCATAGAAAAGGAAACGGGGCATACCCATTTACGCGCTACGTACTCCAGGGTTACGAACCCTCTATTGTCCAAAACCACTTTTAAGCTCCTAATACCTAAAGACTAAAAGTCCAACTCACGGATCTTAATCTTGGGAAGGTCTTAACTGATAAAGTCATCAACTTTAAGATTTTGCATGGCTTAATAGAGCCCAAACCAAACCAAACCCTAAGTACATAACACTCTTTAATAGCCTCAAACTATTGCATGAGTGAGAAATAGCAACAAAAACTTCATTTTTATAACACAAGATCCTCAGAAACAACATAAAATGACAAACCTGAGCTCTGGTGTAGCTTTTACTGAGCTCTGGTGTAGCTTTTACTCATAACAACCAAAACCATGGGACCAAAAGCTTGTAAATCAAGGCTCTAACCTGGATCTAATCCTTGAACCATAAAGGTGAGAATTTTATACCTCCACAAGCTTGCAAAGGTGATGAAAGTTCTGGATCTTCAAGCTCTAACCCCACCTATCCTCAATGATGGACTTCTTCTTCTTTCACAAGGCACCAAGAACACTCTAAAGGTCCAAAACAATCTCTCAAGGATTAGGGTTTCAAAATGACAGAAAGAGTAAGTGGAGGATGATGATAAAGGAGGCCTCAAGGGTTTGAGCTCAACATGAGGACGCCTTGTGTACTCCTTAAGTACGCATCGCATACTGCATGAATCTCACATCCATCATTAATGACTTATGTCCGGTGTACACTCGATGTACGCCCAGTGTAAGGACCATATTTGCAAAGATTATTTATTTTGATCCAAGAATGGAAAATACCTGGAAAACAGATGTTACAACTTATAAAAAATGTCTAGCTCAATTAAGTTGGATATAGGGTTGTCTCATTCTGAGGTAACGGAGTGTAGTAGTCCTCTTTTTTTTTGGACAGCCAGAAATGGTGGGTATGTATCAGACAACTGGTTAGGTATGTTTGGTCATCTACCAGAGCAAGATGACAACACTTGATTATTCTAGACAATCTTGTGAATTACGTTGCTAGTGTAGACTTATAAACCATATACCTAGATGAAATGAGATACCATATTTATCAAATACTATGATGGCTTGATTTGCCTTTATGACTTAGATCGACCAAGGAATCCCCTAACTGTGTAGTCAAACCAATGTTTAAACGATTTCATCAGGTGATATAATTTCTTCTAGATGATCATGGATTAGGATTTGTCAATCGATTGGGATGGGTATGTATTGGTGTAGTATCTTTTATATATAATATATATATATATATATATATATATATATATATATATATATATATATTATATTATATATATATATATGGCTAAACTGAGATAAGTATAAAATATTAAGTGATGATGATTACATTTGTTTCCTCTATATATGGCTCATTATATGTACTTTGAGGATATTATATTGTGTGCTGACAAAGGCAATTCACTACAAAGTGTAGGAAAAGTGTAGGAACATCCAACTATAACGAGTTTATGATATTTCATCGGATGTTCTTCGGTAATGTGTAGAAAATGCCATCGCGTGCTAGACTGTGGAATTTTACAAAGCGTTTTGTAAACCGTCCAACAACAATGCCGTTCCTAAAACCATGGTTGCTAAAAAGTGAGCCTTATATGGAGGAAGCAAATGTAATCATCATCACTTAATATTTTATACTTTTCTCAGTTTATATATATATATATAGATATATATATATATATATATATATATATATATATATATTATATATATATATGATGTTATAGCTACCAAAGGGCTTTTAGCCCAACAGTTTCAGGTGGTGTCTTCCCTATTTAAGGTCGATGGTTCACAAAAAAAAGGTGGAAGTAGGTGTTAGTTTAAGACATAGGTGGAATTAGGTGTTAGTTTAGGAGTAAATTATAATATGTGTATTTGCCGGTTCACAAAAAAAAGTAAAAAAAATGAAATAAAAAATAAAATAAAATAAAATGATGTTATAGCTTGTTTAGAAAATGAGAGCATTTTATATTTGGGCGTGGTCCTAAAAATGTGACCAACGCACATAAACACATTATGTGCTTCTTCTTTTGGTCTGGTTTTATTTGGTTGTTCATGTTTATGTTTTCTAGTGGTATGTTGCAACTTTATTTAAACACCACCACAAAAAAACTATTTTTCAATTAACTTCTTTCTACCCAACTTTCACCCAAATTGTTCGATGTGAAGACTCTTATGGGTCACTCGTTCTAGTACCCTTTCCGTTGAAGAACATTTAATTAAGTGCATTCTTTTTATTGCATGTAATGCATTAGTTCCAATATTATCACCAAAAAAGTGATGGGTCCTTTTCTTCCAATTTGAATGAAATACGAAGACAAAGAAATGTTAAAATTGACCCTTAATTAATTATAAAGACAATATGAATATTTCATGTTTAATAAAGAATTTACAGGGCAGGAAACTAGAGTCAGAACCTTAGTTTATTACACCAAAACTCTTGACATAATTAAAAAAAATTCGAAAACCAAAATCTTATATATCTAGCTAGACATTAAATCTCCATATAAAACCTCAAAAAACAAATAAAATTGGGATGCCATATTTTATAATAGCCAAACACCAGTGTCCCAACTCAATTTTTTTTCACATCTTTGAGTTTTTATGTGAAAATAAGATTAAGAAAGTAGCATTTCAAGATTTATGGAATGAGATTTGGTGGGAATGAATCAAGAAAATTGTTCATCCAATTGTCATCATCTTCATCATAGAATCCTTCTTCTGTGCCTCCTTGACTCGTGCACTGATGCTCTATTGCTTTCTCAATTTCATCATTCCTGGCAAATCTTCCTCTTATACGAGGTCTGCTATCTGCCAATGTTTTCCTACATACATACTATATATACATAACAGAAATAAATATTTATTATCAATTATAAAACGGGAAAGTAGAACACTAATTAACAAATGTACCTTTTGTTTTATTCATTTTATTAGTCTTTTGTACTCTTCATGATAGAAAATAGATATAACCAATATATAAGCATAGTTTGTTTACCTTTATTTTCTTGGTGAAATTGCGTTGGGTTTTCTTATTTCTGTACCTCTCGATTCTTTCCTTTTTCTCATCTGGCGAATAACGACAGGCTTTGTTCATGCTTTCTATGATACTATTGCTTTCACTTGACAATGGACTTTCTGATCGGTGATAGTGATTTTGCACCATATTTGTTCCCTATATATATAAAAGTAACTAAGTTAATTCATAATACGTACAAGGTACTATTATATATTTAAATAACAGAAAAACAGAAATGTTTAACTTGATGAATTTTGACATTAAAAATGATATTGGACACTTTTTTGTGTTTTCTTTTTGTCAAGTCCTCGTGATTGAGACTAATCATATGTGGTGCCATGGTGGGGTTAGCATTCTTTAGAACGCTGTAGGGGTCTATCTATATGCACAAGTGAAACAGATGGTTGGAGATGACATATATTGAATAATATTATTTAGTTTAAAATTAACTATGAAACTTAATCTATCATTAATTTCATGATATGTTTAATAGTTAATTAAATATTTGAAAATATGCCAATAAAAGCCAAATAAAAGTAACGTATGTATATCAAATTATTGTTCTTATGTCAACAAATGTATACTTAAAACGACTGTTGTACTCACTTCAAAGGATCGACTTATTGAACATATATATTGTCATAATAAAATTTCAGGTAATCTTAAACTTGTTCCTGGTCGATTTACTCTTTAAAATGGCAAAAAAAAAAAAAAATCAAAACTTTGTTTAATTATATATATACAAGACAAAACCTGCAAATCTTCTGCGCTGAAAACCCTTCTCATGGTGGTGGAACTGCTCCCCTCTGAGTCCATTAACTCAGTAGGGGACGAAACGAGTTGATTAAAGAAGCGGTTATTATGGAAGTGACTAGTAATCGAATGGCTACTACCACTCCTTTGTATTGCTATGCTCGGACTTGCAGTATAACTCGGAGAGTCATATCCTCCACTGCTTGTTGCATACACTGAGTCCAACTCGTATTGTGGAATGGCTAAAGGTGGTGGTGGTAGGAAGCAATCGGCGGTGGCATACGGCTGAGGTAGCGGTGCCACTGGTCCTAGTCCTGCAAGAAATTCTGGTGGGAAGGTATATGAGTCATTGTTGTGATCACTGTGTCCGTACATGGCGTGTGGAGTGTTGAATCGTAGTTGAAAGTTGAAACGAAAGAGGAGTGTGTTGTGTGTTGTGTATAGTAGTCTCAAAATAAGCCACATCTTTATATAAGCTTAAAGATGACGTCGAATATGGTTATATGACGTCACTGATCGTTGACTTTCGCTCCAATTGACTCGAAGACATTTATGCCTACTTATTATCGAGCACTTGAATAATTGGATTGAAATGACTTATTTTCTCTTCAAAAAGTCTTCCTAAATTCCGTTGACTCTCTATTTAGTTTACTTTTATTATGTGGATTTATATTTATTTTAAAAGAACTACGTCTGTAATTATGAATTGTAGACGAATTATATAAATGTTAAAAGTGATATATCAATCTGCTTCTGTGTGTTAAAAAGGTAAATAGCTGAAGTGAAAACTATATAATGTTCAAAAAAATCTCTAAAATGTGATGGGTGGACTTATTTTGACAAAAAATCTATAAAATATTGGAATCTATATCGGAAAAAAGAAAGAGTTGTTGTTTCTATTGAGTTTATTTAAGAAGCATAATTAAAAAAAAAAAATGAAGAAGAAGTTCATATACAAGCAAAACTATTTCAACACTAAGATCTAATAATAAAATATTTTTGTTTTCTTTAAAGAACTAGACAACTAATATTAATTTAAATTGTTACCATTTTTATTTTTAATTATTTGATGTAAAAAAAAGAGAGAACAGAAAAGTATAACCGTGGGTTCTAATTTATTTAAAGAAATAAAAATAGTCAAAGAAGCCAAGAAGATGCCGTCCCTATGTGTAGAACAGTGGCGTTTTAAGGGGTGGGGGTGGTCCAATTTAGTAGAGTAGAGTATACCATTTGTGCCAAAAATCTGCTTTGAAATACCATAATATTCTTGCATCCTCTTCCAACTTGCACTTTGACTAGACATCGAACCTACTAAGCTAGACCCATCCCCACCACTTATATGCAAGAACTTTTAGAATGTTCGCTTTTCATCGTATATACGTAGAGTATTTAAAATTTTCAATCATGATATATGTTATCATAATAAATTAGACGAAATTGCATAACCAGTTGAGTATTTAAAATTTCAATCATGATATATGCTAAATAATAAACTAGTAAAAAAACACGGCTTTTGTCTCAGATCGGTACTTTTTAATTTTTTTTTCTAATTAGAGAATCGTATTTTGAAAGATTTATTTTATCTATATCAGCAATGTTCTTATATAGTACTACAAATATTTTATTTGATATCTATTACTATCATTTGGTAATTAAATATGTGTGTTATATGAGGAAAATAAGATCGTATAGTAGAATATCGAAGGTGGGGGATAAAAAACGGCAACTCCATAAACTAATATGGCAAAAACTTGAAATGTCACATTCGGTAAATGCCAGGGACCAACAATGGGAAACTCTTAAACCCTTTGTGGCTAGCAGTAGAGAATATCAAAGTTTGGGGACTAAAAGTGCCAACTCCACAAACTAATATGGTAAAAAGTTAAGGAGGGACCAAAAGTGGCAAATTATTGAAACTTTTGTAATAAAACTTTATATATG